GGGCGGGGCTTCATCATGTGCCCCCCCCCCGTACCTCACCCGGGGAAACTGCGATCCCCCCCGAAATGACCTCTGGCCATGACCCATAGGAGGCTCTGTTAGTTACTAATGCAAATTAGAGCCCCATGAGCCATTTATTTGTTTTGAATATTATATCACACCTTTCTACAATGCCTCAGGTGGCTTACAAAATATAAACATAGCGGACACATAAATTAAAATATCAAGTTAAAACTGCAACTCCTGCAACATAAATATTTTATCACACCTTTCTACAATGCCTTAGGTGGCTTACAAAATAAAACTGCAACTCCTGCAACATGTGGAAGAATGAAAAAAAATCAACTGTGATTTGAAGACCTGCTTGTGGGTGTGGCAGTATGGTTTAAGGCAATAATTCTCAGCATACTACAATTAATTCCTATAGATCCAGTGGGATTTATTTCTGAATTAAAATAGTTTGGATTGGCCTAGCAAAAGTACTGTTGCATAGCTAAGCCATGTTATGTGCAGTCTTGATGTAACCTTAACAATGCAGCAAGTCTATTCATTCTAAAACAGTCTTTCTTTCTCGCTGACAGATCTTGCTCAAGGCCAAAGTAAACCATAGATCTGTGAGCAACAGAGATATACAGAGCAAAGAGAAAAGGTCAACACACTCCTTGTGTGGCCAGTCTAGATTCTCCTACTATCTGCCAACCAAAGGAAATTCCTGCTCCTTCCTAGGGAAGAAGAATACCACTTCTTGGCATGTATAAATTCTTAAAAGTCTTGTATAGGCTAAACTGTAATCCCCAAGGTAGTGGGTTCTGGTCCTGTTTTCTTATGCCCTAGCCTGGTGAGGCATTACTGGTCAAAACAACCCCTCTGTTTGTCTTTGGAAATCTGTACAAAAACCTGTCAGCTGTGGTTTTTATGTGATTGTGAACTGTATGTTGTGAATAGCAGAAGTTATTGTTGTGAGCTTCTGTGATTGTTGAGAATGTTTATACCTGAGACTATAATAATTAACCTGAAATTGCTTAGATACTTTTTATTTGACTATATAATTTAGAAACATTACACAAAAGAAAACGAAAAAAAGTTCTGGATGTATTGCAGCTAAGTGCTTGTAATAGCTATACACTTGGTGTTTCTTTGCCTTTATCAGCTGTAGCCTTCCAGCAGCCCTGTTTCTATTACACGTATGTATGCTGGTCTGTGCAAATACTATACAACATTATCTTTGCTTTACAGATTATTTGAGGCTCACATACAGAGCTACGATGGAGACGATCCACTTGATCCTTGGGACAGGTTTGGCTTTGCGTTAACTGCATTCTGTACTCTATACCTTTACTCTAAACTTACAGTAGGAAACTCGCCTGATGGATTTGTTTTGTTTTTAGATACTATCAATGGGTAGAAGAGGTTTTGGAAGAAGAAGGAAGACAAAACTACCTATCAAGTTTGTTGGAGCGGCTTATGAAGGTCTTTTTAGGTGACAAGAGGTATCAGCATGATAGCAGATTCATCAGCTACTGCATGAAATTTGTACGTATGCAGGGTTGAAGTATAAACTGACAGAATTTTAGCCTGTGCTAACCGTAAATTTTAAAAAGCTCAGTTTTTCTTCTTTTGGCCAGCTAATGTTTAGCCATGATTTTTAGGTCTTTTGAGTTTCAGACAGAGAGTGCAGAAGGAGCAGATGTGCACCTAGTAGCCCTTTCTTGCTCCACAACCTTCCCATAGGTCTTCCAGTTTATTCCTGGGTAAACTGAGGCATAGGTAAAAGAGTTTGAATTTCCTGCAACACCACCGGTGAACATGGGCCGTTGTGGCCCCACCTTATGGAATGGCCTGCCTGAGGAGGTCAGGAAGGCTCCCACTCTCCTGGCTATCTGCAAACTTTGGAAAACTGAATTATTCAGGACAACTTTTATGTGCAGGCAATAGAGTCGCACTGTACTAAATATTTCACAAAGTTACTTGGATAAATTACTAGGGTCCACGGTCTATACTACTGTGTATAGCTTGGTGAAACTAGGCTCCTACTATGGAATTTTTGCATCATGTTAATACTTAAGTTTTGCTCAGTTCTGTTTTTAGACTTCTGGTTGGTTCTATACCTCTAAGTCCTATTGCAGTGATAGTGAACCTTTTAGAGACCGAGTGCCCAAACTGCAACCCAAAACCCACTTATTTATTGCAAGTTGCCAACACGGCAATTTAACCTGAATACTGAGGTTTTAGTTTAGAAAAAACAACTCATACATTAACATAAGATGATCCAAACAAAGTAAGGAAAGCAATCCCAAATGCTTTCATTTACTTAAAATTATTTGGCAAAGAATTCCACACTTTAATGACGGTCTGAGCCTGGCTGGGGCGATGGCATGCGTGCCCACTGAGAGGGCTCTGAGTTCACCACTGGCACACGTGCCATAGGTTCGCCACCACTGTCCTATTGCATTGTTCACTGAAGGTCTTTAGCCTGTTGACTGTATCAGCTCACTCTATGTAATCCTGTGTGGGGAGGGTGGGGTAGAAATTGCATTAATAAATAATAATAAATAATCCGCCTTGAGTCCAAGTGAGAAAGGTGGAATATTAATAACATAAATAAATAAATAGAACCACCTGTGACATTTAGGAGGGAGGGGGGTAAAGTTCTATGGGCTTAAAGAACTCTCATGCACCTCAGCTGCTTGCTTCTGTTTTCCTGGTTTTTGACTGGGGGAAGGGTTCTGAAGCTCAGTGGCAGAGCATCTGCTTTGTTTGCTGAAGGTCCCAGGTTCAGTCTCCGGCATCTCCAGTGAAAAGGATCAGGTGACATGAAAGACCTCTTCCTGAGTTGCTGCCAGTTAGAGCAGACAATACAGACCAGGATAGTCAAGTCAGTATAAGGTAGCTTCTTGTGTCCATGTGTTCAGTTCAGTTTGTTAAAAACAAAAACAAAATAGTTGCTGACCAGAGATATGACTTGACCTGAAGGGATTTCTCTGGATAGTTAGTGTAGGTTATTTCGCAGTGGTGGTATTGCCAGCTGAAAGATGGTGAAAGAAGACAACTGCTGTGTTAAACTGTCCCTCTGCTTGGGCACACTTTGATGTTAATTCATATCTTCTTTAGGCCACATTTATTGATGACCCAAGTCAATTTTTTGACTATATGTACAGCCAAGGAATTGGTACCAAGTCATCCAATCTGTATATTGCATGGGCTCAGCAACTTGGCATGCAAGGAAATGTGTCACATGCGAACACTGTCATTGAGAAGGGGATTCACAGTGGAGCACAACCTGTTGAAAAGCTGCATCAGCTTTACGGGTATGTCTTTGATTGAAGCTTCATCTTGTAAGCTACAATGACAGAGGAAATGTTTATTTTTATGTACAGAAATTGAACAGCTGTTGAGCTTTGCCTTCCATGTACTCTGGCTTCCTAGCAAACAGTTTCTCCTCCCCACCATCCACACAGTTGCATGCAAAAATTACAGGTGGCCCACTAAAAAAACACTGGGGTATGTGTAGCCAACTAACTAGTAGATCTTTAAGAAAACAATGCTTGAAGAGTCTTTTACCACTTTGGCATATATTTTGTCAGTCTCTTGTCCTCAGCATCTGTATTGCCATTTTTGGTCTTCTTAAGCACATAGCTTCAAAAGAAGGACACAAATATTTCACTGGTTTTCTTTGAAAGCCTATTATTCAGCCAGTGTTTCAGGAGATAAAAGTGAATGAAGTTCCTTTTTTCCTAGAGTCAACAGGCTCGTCTCATGTATTTTTCTCAACAGTCACTTGTTCACATTTAATTGGAATTAGAATAGGCATGCAGAAGCCTAGTAACCTTTTGTGATTTATAATTCCCCTGAGGGTAATGGTCAGGAGGCTGTGATTCATGAGGATATGGCCCATTTTTAAATATATATATATATATTTAAAACATTTGCATGGTGCCTTTCCACCCAGCATAGGACCTGTTTCCACTCCCATTCTGAAGACCTGCTAACAGTTTAAAGAAGGGCACCAGACAAGAAACCTCCAAAACTGTCCAAGATGGATAGTCCGACTGAGAAGGGCAATCCCAATAATCAGTACAAGTTCACAAGTATGCCTGATGATATAACCTAAGATCAGGAAAACCAGAGTCTCCTTCATTAAATGGGAATTGCATCCTCTTTAAAGAAATCCAAGGCAGTAAATGAACCCCATATACATTTCTGAAATAAGTGAAAGATCAAGTGAAAAGGTGGCAACTTGATCAAATCTCTTATTATTTAAAGCAATCAAATCAATGAACTAAGATTATCTGAACCATGCCTACCTTGTATAAATCCTACCTGGTCTAGAAAGAGAGCATGGAATTATAAAGGATCCAGCAATTAGAGTGGCACAAGATACAAAAAGACAGCAATATCTGTCTTTTTGTATCTAGAAAGAGAGCATGACTGGTCCAAGGTCACCAAGCACTCTTCATGGAAGAGTGGGGATTTGGTCCTGGTCTGATACTCTAAACACTGTACAACACTGGTTTACTTTCTGAGGGTCGTCTTGATTTTCAGTGTCAGTAATGACTTGTTTTTCCTCAACCTAGGTTGTTACAGAGTTGCTTAGCCCAGAATCAAATTTCAAGTCAAGGTAGGTCCAGTTCTATTCTATCAATGTATTTAAAAAACAATCACCATGAACATGTTTGCTTGTAAACAGATTCAGCAATGTATTGCTCTTCCTGAAATGCCTTTTTTTTTGGGGGGGGGAGTGGATTGATAGGTGGGTGGTCCTATCTTGAAACAGAAGGTTGGTTTCAGTGGTCTTCTGTGGACAGGACTGCAGCAAGTTGTGTCCATATCTAGGATTATAATAGTGACATTTGGGTCTGAATGGTCTGGGAGCCAGAACTTCCAGACTGGGGATGATCATGAACCTAAAAGGGGGGGGGGTTGGGGTTGCCTACAGGCTGAACCCCGAACCAAGCCAGAAGGGCCCATGCTGCTCCAGCGAAGGGCCCATGCTGCACAGCAAACCGTGGCAGGAAGAAAGGGGGCAGGGACTACCCTGGAAGAGACATCCCTTCCACCTTTCTCCTTGCTGCAGCTCGCTGGGAACAGGAGAAAGGGAAGGGCTTCCTTTCTCCCTTTTTCCTGGTTAGAGCTCGCCACTCAGCTATTAGATTTAAATAGCTGGAAGCCCTTTAAAGTGGAGGGGGAGCGAAACCAAAGGGTTTAAAGGCTCACAGCCATTTAAACCTAACTGCTGAGTGTGTCCACCACTCAGCAGTTAAGGTTAAATGACCACAAGCCATTTAACCCTTCGGTTTTGCTCCCCCCCTCAAAGCAGGGGGAAGCAAAACCGAAGGGTTAAATGTCTGGCCCTGAACAGCCGAACCGCCAAAAAGTCTGGTAAATGTTCAGGGAAGGTATCTTCCCTGAACATTGGTTCCCAAGTGCCGAACTGGCCCAAGTTCAGCCCAAATTTTGGTTCCTGAGCTGGTTTGTGCCCATCCCTACTCCAGACTTGGGGAGCATGTTTGGATCAAAGGAAAAAATAGTGGCTAAATGCTAGATAGCCAAGGGGAATTTGGAGGAGAAATAATTGTTCAATGGAAAATTTTATAGTTCTATCTTTTCCCAAAAACAAAACACAAGGTGTCCAGTGTATCTCAAATACAACTCGGTGTGAGCTGATGGACACAGGCTTCAAATGGTGATAGGAAAGTGAGTATTAGTTGGGCTAGGCAGGCTGATGCAAAGGGGGTTTCCTTGTGCCGTCTCTGTTCCTGAAAGGCTGCAGAATGGCAAGAATATTTTAGGGGCTGACTGCTGTTACAAATCCAGTGGGGCTTCTTGAATCTCACTATAGTCTGATGATATTGTTGCACATCACTTGCAGAGAGTCCTCCTGGTATTAGGCTGCTGGAAAGGGTTTTTCCTCCAACTTCTCCAAGAGTTCCCCCTACCCCCCACCTTAAGGAAGTAATAAATGCGTGAGAGAAGATTTGGATTAGTCTTCTTGTTTGAAGTTGTATTGCTCTCCTGGTTCATTCAGTGTTGAGAATGTGAGGGTAGAGCAGTGAGGTGTTTTTCCCCCCCAATTTTTTTGGGGGAGAATTTTTCACTGGAAAAATTGAAGAGAAGTCCTTGGTTGAGAGAATGTTAGATTTTTTTCCCCTAGGGCCTTCACATTTTTTAAAGCAGCTAAGCTAGGTTTGTTCTAGAAACCAGTTTTTACTTGTAATATTTTTTAGAAGTGTACCAGTGTTAACAAATGATTGTCAAGAAACTGGTTTTCCTACACAGTTTCTTGTTCAAGTTTTCAACGTTGGTTCAGGCTTTTGGCCTAGTAAAATGGCCTGGTAAAGAGTCCTTGCAAAAGAAATCCCTCCCCCCAACCAAAGCAAGCTGTTAGAAGCTTCAGAGATGATAAAGAGATCTCTCTTTATTGTGTCTCTGAAGATGGGAGGTAGCCCAGCTGTCTGTCATTTCATTAGGCATGGTAACTCCAAGGACAGGAGATGGGGAGGGTGCATTCCATCTCAATAGCACCTGAGATCATGGGTGGTAGAGAGGTGTTTGTTCATTTAAATCCAGCACACCTGCAGGGTGTCTGGTTAACTGACAAGCCCCTCTGAGCAACGAGTCCGGTGGTTAGGTTACATTATTTGCCCTACGTCCGATTGGCTAATTAGAATCAGGCCAACACAGTCTGGACCATAAGGTAAAGGTTTTCATTCTAGTTCTTGGGTACAGACCATGTGATGGCTACTAGCTAGGAGAGTGTGTTATACTAGTGCTATAAGCCCTGGCTGCAAGCCATTGTGTGCGGTGATACGTGCCACAGTGTTGTTGACCAGTTGTGTCAGGTCCCAGGCCACTGACTCAGGCAGTTGCTGTGACTGACCTTGTGTTTGGATTAGCCTGGATGCTATCTTGTTTGGTTCATCTTATTGCCCGGAAACCTCGCCTTCGACTTTGAAGTTTGGAACCTTGAAGACCTCAGCCTGCTGTTGAGTAATATCTGAAACCCTGAGCCATTGTTTGTAAAAGTGCTTAGGCAGTCTTTTACTGTTCACTGCTCTGCTTTGATTATTTCTGCACAATTTTAAATAAATCACTTTAATTATATTCTTGTCAAGTTCTTGAATTCAGGAGGCTCCAATCTGAATCCCGTACTTTAGCCCGCATTGGCTACAGATACCAGAGTAATTGTTTGAGAAACTCACCTGCAAGGGTGACTTTCTTGACTTTAGTTCCAGGAGGGCCTGAGACTTGGTCTCTGGCTCTGTGAATAGTAGAAGGGGACTGGTGGCAGCACTACCCTGAGATCTGAGCACTCACACTTCAGACTTTTTTTATTGTTTTGCTTTGACCAGCTCCCCATCGAGACTTCAGCCCTGGTCTGGCGGTTTGGGCTTGAAGTCCTGTGACAATGAACAAGACCTCATTTTGAATTTTCTAATGGTAATTTTTTTTGTAGTTGGAGTTTTGGAGCCACATAATTCCCAACAGTTCAATGAAATAACCTCTAAAGATGACCCAGCCAGTGTTCACCAAAATCAGATACCTAAGGACATGGTAGGTTGCCTTCCATTCCTCTTTGAAATAGGTTTAGAAACTGATAGGTGATATCTGTTAACTTTCATGTAACTGCAATGGAAAAACCATTTTTCTGTTTATACTTTTTACCAATATTAAAATTCTGTATCTCAAATTATTATATATGTTTGAATGCTTTATTTTCTTGTTTCCCATAAAAGATCTGGCTTGTCAACAAAAGTAGAATTGGTAGAAGGATAATGTAGGCCAATGAATTATTCTGTATGAAGTTCGTTGAACTTCTTAGCTAACCTTTTGAAATGCTGTGTGAACCCTCCAAGTATGCTTGTGTTACCATTTGCAAACTCTAGTTCTCATCATGGGATGTCAAAATGTGAATCTGGCCCCAGTGTGTGTGCATCAAAAATTCTGAACCTGGCCCCAGTGTGTGGATCAAAATATCTATGCAATAGAGTCAGAGAAAAGCAGGGCAGCGGGAGGGTGTTTTTACAGTCCTGGGGGAGCCCCCAAGCTTGTAAGAAAAAATCTGAAGGGTGGTAGAATTGAGGCTTTTTAAAATACAAGGAACCCCAAAAGAGACTCAAACCAGATCTGATCATACTATGCTGTAAGATCTTGATGGCCAGAAGTGTCTTTAACTCTGATTTTTTTAAAAAAAATCCTTGGTCTAAACTTTCCTATCTTCCTAGAATCCAGCAAATTCTGAATTGTGTCCTGTTTATGGTGGAGTGGAAAAAATGTGAGTAGTTGTTCGAAAAACGTTGTGCTTATGGAGCATTTAGTTAACATATTTGTGAATACTTTTGTCTATATATACAAGGGAGGCGAGGGTTACTGGAGAGGGGAACACATCATTGGTGTCTATATGCCAATGCTAGAAGTCTCTGAGCCAAGATGGAGGAGCTGGAGTGCTCGGTGTTCAGTGGCAATTTAGATATAGTAGGTATTTCAGAAACATGGTGGAATGGGGAAAATCTATGGGATACAGTCATTCCTGGGTATATAAGCTCTATAGGGAGGACAGGGAGGGACGAGTTGGTGGTGGTGTTGCACTGTACATCAAAGAGGGCATAGAATCAAATAAATTAGAAAACATCAGGGGGAATTAACTCTCAAGCAGAAGTAATATGGGTGGAAATATTGTGCCTCCAGGGTTACTTAAGTAGAGGTGTACTATTGCCCACCTGATTAAACCCTTGAGGCTGATCTTGAGATGGAGAAGGAAATAAAGGTGACTAAAGCAAATAATGTTATTATACTGGGAGACCTAACTACCCTCACATTGACTGGGTAAACATGTGCTCAGGTCATGTAGAAATGAGATTCCTAGACATCATAAATGCCTGTGTACTGGAACAGTTGATCACAGAGCCAACAGAACATAAGAGACGCCAATGTTGGATCAGGCCAAAGGCCCATCCAGTCCAACTCTCTGTCACACAGTGGCCAAAAATACCAGGTGCCATCAGGAGGTCCACCAGTGGGGCCAGGACATTAGAAGCCCTCCCACTGTTGACCCCCCCCCCAAGCACCAAGAAGACAGAGCATCACTTGCCCCAGAGTCCCTATCTATACCTTATGGCTAATAGCCACTGATAGACCTCTGCTCCATATGCTTATCTAATTCCCTTTTGAAGCCGTCCATGCTTGTAGCCGCCACCACTTCCTGTGGCAGTGAATTCCATGTGTTAATCACTCTTTGGGTGAAGAAGTACTTCCTTTTATCCGTTTTAACCCGACCGCTCAGCAATTTCATTGAGTGCCCACGAGTTCTTGTATTGTGAGAAAGGGAGAAAAGTACCTCTTTCTCTACCTGCTCTTTCCCATGCATAATCTTATAAACCTCAATCATGTCACCCCTCAGTCATCGTTTCTCCAAGCTAAAGAGCCCTAAGCGCTTTAACCTTTCCTCATAGGGAAAGTGTTCCAACCCTTTTATCATTCGAGTTGCCCTTTTCTGCACTTTTTCCAAAGCTATAATATCCTTTGTAAGGTGTGGTGACCAGATCTTGGACTTGGTTTTGAGCGGGTTTCAAGACCGATGAGAGATGTAGACATCGTTGGAAACAGTGACCACAATGCTATTAAGTTCAGCATTCAGGTCAATGTTAAGTTACCCATAAAGTCCAAAACGGTAACATTTGATTTCAAAAGAGGGAATTTTACAAAAATGTGGGGAATAGTTAAAAAGAAACTAAAAGGGAAACAAAAGGGAGTCTTAAAATCACACTAATTGAAGCCCAGATAGAATGCATTCTACAGGTTAGGAAAGGCACTGCCAAGTCTAAAGGAAGGCCCGCGTAGTTAACAACAGACGTTAATGAAGCTATAAAAAGTAAAGAGGCTTCTTTTAAAAAGTGGAAAGTCTGCCCTAATGAGTTGAACCAGAGGGACCACAGGCTCTGGCAATCAAAACATTAGTCAATAATCAGGCATGCAAAAAGAGATTTTGAGGAGTGGGTTGCTAAAAGTATCAAGATGAACAATAAACATTTTAAAAACCTGCCAGAGAAGCAGTGGGGCCTTTGGATGACAAAGGAATAAAGGGATTGCTGAAGGAAGATGGGGAGATGGCAGAAGTTCAATGACTTTTTTGCTTCTGTGTTCACTGGAAAGTGTGGGGCATTTGCCCATGCCACAGCTCCTATTTTCAGGAAGGGAGTCTGAAGAACTGAGCCAAATTTAGGTGACCAGAGATGAAGTTCTAGCCCTGGGGTAATTAAAAAACAACATCTCCAGGTCCTGACGGCGTACACCCGAGAGTTCTTAAGGAACTCAGATGTGAGATAGGTTACATATATGGGTTAGTAGATCAACTATCACTAAATTCAGCTGCTGTACCAGAAGACTGGGGAGTAGCAAATGTTACACCAGTTTAGGGATCAGGAGGGAACCAGGGGATTACAGTCCAGTCAGCCTAATGTCTGTCTAAATTATTAGAAACTGTAATCGAAGATGGAGTTGTTAGGAGCAAAACCTGCAGAGGGAAAATCAGCTTGGCTTCTGCAAAGAGAAGTCTAGACAACAGTGACCTGGTAGACATTATATTGGACTTACAAAAGGCTTTTGACAAGGTGCCTCACCAAAGACTCCTGAGTAAACTTCGCAGTCATGGGATAAGAGGACAAGTTCTCTTACGGATTAAAATCTGGTTAAATGACAGGAAGCAAAGAGTAGGGGTCAATGGACAGTTCACACAATGGAGGGAAGTAAGCAGTGAGGTCCCACCAAGCTCAGTATTGGGGCCGGTACTATTTAATTTATTCATAAATGATCTGGAACTAGGGGTGAGCAGTGTAGTGGCCAAGTTTGCAGGTGTCATCAGAATGTTCAGGAGGGTGAAAATCAAGGCTGACTGTGAAGAGCTCCAAGAGAACCTCCACAAACTGGATGCACGGGTGACAATGTGGCAAATGAACTTCAGTGTTGTGTAAGGTAATGCACACTGAGACAAAAAATCCTGACTTCAAGTATAGGCTAAGAGACTGAGACTGAGAGGGGGAAAGAACTTGGGGTCGTAGTAGGTACCTCAATGAAAGTGTCAACCCAGTGTACTGCAGTGGTGAAAAAGGCGAACTCGATATTAGGGATTATTAGGAAAGGAATTGAGAATAAAACAGTCAATATTGTAATGCCCCTGTATAGATCTATGGTACAGCCTCATTTGGAATACTGTGTACAGTTCTGGTCACCGTATCTCTCAAAGGGACATCACAGAGCTGGAGAAAGTACAGAGAGCAACCAAGATGATTAGGGGATTGGAACACCTTTCCTAGGAGGAAAGGCGAAAGAGTCTGGGACTTTTCAGTTTAGAAAAGAGACAATGGAGGGGAGCATGATAGAGGTTTATAAAATTATGCATGGTGTGGAGAGAGTTGATAAAAGGAAATTTTTCTTCCTCTCCCAAAGTACTAGAACTCGAGGACATCCAATGAAGCTGATGGGCAGTAGGTTCAGGATGGACAAAAGGAAATACTACTTTACCCAGAGAGTGATTAAAATGTGTAATTTGCTGCCAGAGGATGTGGTGACGACCACAGAAGTAGACAGCTTTAGAAGGGGATTAGATAGATTCATGGAGAATAGGTCTATCAGTGGCTGCTAGCCATGGTGACTAAGGGGAACCTCTACGTTCAGGGGCACTAATCCGCTGAATCTCACAACCAGGAGGCAATATCAGGGGAAGGCCTCAGCCTCTATGCCGTTGTTGGCCGCCCAGAGGAACTAGTTGGCCACTGTGTTAGTCAGGATGCAGCAGGGCTCTCATGTTCTTAATATATGTTGGCTGTTTGAAGTTTTAAAAAAATTATATTGATGTTTTTGATTGTTGTGTTGTATTGTGATACCTTTCTGCTATGCCTGTGGCCAGCCAATGCCATAAATAAACAAATTGCCATACTTTTGTACTTAGGGAACAGCCTCAATTTATAACCTCCATTTCAAAATCTGAAGTCTTACCAACATCATCTTCCAGTGCGACCCATGAGCAGAGGGTTATGTATGACAAGAATCTTCTTTATTGTGAAGGCTCTGAATTGTGCTTTGAAGAAGTAAGAGCCCAAATATACTTGAAAAGGGCTGAACGTCTGAGAAGGCAGAAAGAATGGGGTAATTGCTATTTACTATTTCCACTAGCCCCATCCTACAGACTTAAGGCTGGGGAAGCAACAAATGCAAAATGTACTGAATCAGGGATGTTGAACTCATTTGTTATGAGGGCCGGATTTGACATAAATTGGACTTTGTCGGGCTGGGCCACGTGTGTCATAAAACGTAATGCCAAGCAGCAGAGATATAAACTTTATAAAGGACACAGACAAGCACAATTAAAGATATTATAGTAGCTATTCCATTGGAGCTATTCCATTAGGAGGTTGTGTGTGTTAAAACTAATATTTCTCTGCAAAACCGAAGTTCCATGAGTTTGTTGGACTCTATATCTTAACTGTGATTAGTCCCAAACCTCCCCCCCCAAAAAAAACCCCCCTACAAATATAAATGGTCTGAGCCTAGGACCCAGGAAAGAACATGAAATGGCTGAGCATTGCAAGCTTCTCTCCCCTGCGGCCCCCCCCCCCCGGGGGCTTTTCCAGGGGGCAGGGGGG